CGGATGAAACGTGGACACCGGGCAGTTTTGGAGCACGTTTATGCCCAAGAAGGCCTCCCAAGCAAAAGCAATCATTATTATTATCCTGAGACGAATCGACGAGATAACATCATGCATTCCCAAGATGAAGAAGATTTTGTGTACGAAACGTAGTGCGTCGTGGGATTTCGGCTTTTATTTACTCCCTCCCAGACCACGCGCGCGCCGTGTCAGACCGTAGTAGAGCGCAACGCGCCGGGACCGCAAACCGTCAAACACCGGGACGCGCCGGATTGAACGCGACGAAACAGCTACCATACACCCTAGCTTGCATTAAGAACCGTGACAAAACGTGGCAAAACGGGACAAAACGCACAGCAACCGTGAACCAACCGTGACAGAACGCGCACTAAACGCGATAGAACTTGACAAAGCTTGAAAGGACCGTGAGATGCCGGGAAATACACTTGCTTCCCGTCCCAATACGAACCGCCTCCAAGTTATATTACGGCCTATCACGTACTGTCACGTTTTGTTGCGTTCACCCGGTTTTACTACGGCCTACCAGGTTTCTCATCCGCACCGTGACTGCCGTGGCAAATTTTTTGGCAGTTAAAAAATCTGGCCCGGCAACCACGGCAATCACGGCCTGTCACGTTGGCCCATCCGGTCCCCCCTCGTTATCTCACGTCCATCCCGTTTTGTCCACGTTGGCCTGAAACGTGATTATCGTGGCCACCGGGAACATGTTATGTAAACGTAGCATTACGATACTTGAGATTCTTCTCTTCGAGTTTCTTGTTTAGTCAGATGATAATTTTCACTTCATTAAACAAAACATTATAAAAAGTCTGCCTTTCAACATAGTTTCTTTTCTTGATTTGGAACATTCTAGCTCTGCCTGTACGTTCTTATTATTATATCCATCTGATACCTAATAATGCTATAAACAGTTTTATGAGAACTATTTTCCTTGTACACGTGCAAAGAGGTAGTTTTTTTTACCAATATTACTTGTTGACCACATTACCAAAATCACATATTGTAATTTATACATTTACTGTGTTTTTACAGCCTAACCATACACATGCAGGCCTGGTGTAACTCGGGTTACACGGGACCCGGATGTAAAATCCATTACACAGGGACTAGCCCGTACGTCTCTTGTCAACACGGTCACTTGGGTCTGCAGTGTTCAAATGAGGGTAAGTCTGTATCGACAAGGTACATTATCAACGATGATATATATATATACCTACAATGTACAAATAGGGGTTAGTCTGTATCGACAAGGTATATGTATAAGCGAGGGTAAATATATATCTACAATGTAGCAGTAAGGGTAAGTCTGTATCGACAAGGTATATGTATAAGCGAGGCTAAATATATATCTACAATGTAGCAGTAAGGGTACGAGCGAGGGTAAATATATATCTACAATGTAGCAGTAAGGGTAAGTCTGTATCGTCAGGGTATATGTATAAGCGAGGGTAAATATATATCTACAATGTACCAGTAAGGGTAAGTCTGTGTCGAGAAGGTATATGTATAAGCGAGGGTAAATATATATCTACAATGTAGCAGTAAGGGTAAGTCTGTATCGACAGGGTATATGTATAAGCGAGGCTAAATATATATCTACAATGTAGCAGTAAGGGTACATTTTTTTTTGCGTTCAAGTCACGTTTTGATCTGGTGTAACAGGTTTTTGTAATAATATAACAAATAAAGTTTAATAGCAAACACGCATCTGAAAAATATGTCAAAAAAACTAGATGCCTGTTGTTTGTAGACAATTCGGCGGCCATTTTGAAAATGTGTATTAATGTGTATTTCTTGCGCTTCACAAAAGGACAAAATTTCACCTTTTTTGACACTAGACTTCAATTGTCATTGTTTCGCCATTTTTAATTGTAGCAGGTTCAATTTTGCTGTACAACTTTATAATGTTCAATATGATAAAAATAATATGCAACAAACTGGATAGTTATATATATATATTTTTTTTTTTTTTTTTTTTTACATATTTAGTGTAACTAAAGCACTTTTGATTTTTGACCCCGAAAAAGGTGAAAAATAACACAAATAATAATGGGACAAAAAAAAGCACACGGACCCCTGATTTTTGTGGCTATTTAAGAAAAAGAAACTTTGTTTTTTGATTCATTAAATATTAAAAAAAGTTTTATAGCAGAACATTTTATATCAAGCGTTTAATCTGCAAACAATGGTGAAAAAATAAGTATTTTTTCATTAAAAAATAAGGGGTAGGGGCAACTTAAATCCCAGTTGAAAGAATCAGATTAAGAAATTTTACTTTCACAATTGAAAAGAAAAAAAATATTTTTATCAATTCTACAACATTCATACATATCTGATAACACACTTGGAAGAAATTGTATGAATTTGTTCTGCAAATGGAAAAAAAAACAAACAATTCACCTAAAATCACACTAGTGTGTTATATTGGTATCTTTGACCGATCATAGCACAAAAACGAACACACGGACATATTTTTTATTTACATTTTCTAATATGCCATTAACTCCTTTTTCAAAAAATCCATTTAAGAAAAAAGAAAAAAAATACGGGCATTTTTTTACTTCTCAGAGGTGTACATCCTGAATTGATTGATATAAATATTTAAATCTATCTACTATTTATCTTTTCTTACAGTATGTAGTATCAATGTTTAACATATTTATATAAATCAGTCCCTGAGATACTGTGCTATCAAGTATTACTTCCAGTGCTAGATATACAATAACGTAAACAATAAATAATGCCAAATATAATGTATATCATTGACAGTAACACATCTACCTTAATACCTGAACAATACAATCTACATTTGGCAATCTGATGTTTCAGAACCGGTTATCGTTAGATACACATCCTACACATCGGCTTCCACCAGCTCAATTCAGGCATTTCAAAGAAACATTGCTGCCTTCCTTAAACAACACGTATGTGATACAATGCAACTTTATGGGAAACGGTCTCTGTGGTCTTATTCAAGGTAAGCGACACGATGATAACTTTATATAAACCACTTTTCAGTTTATTTAAGGTAAGTATTACATATACTCACTTGATTACCGTATGACTCATCAATAAGTGACAACATTTATAGTGAGTCGTCAACGACATCACGTTACCAATGGATATATATTTACACTAATTCGTTTACATGTACCAATTAATTTATCAACTTCATTCCATTGCTTTATATTCTTTTTGCATTATTAGATATATTTATTACCATTTTCGGCAGTAAGATATGTAATTTTGTTAAACTGATAAAACTAATATCTTACACAATTTGGCAGAAATATATATGTAATGTACAGTTTGAAAACATCACTGTTAGTATTAACCAATTAGAACAGCACTCTCCATTCACCGCACGAAGCCGAAGCTTTTCTGTTGATTCACTATAGTATCAATTACCTACACCATTGACATCATTTATGTTAGCAAATCTTTCCAAATTATAACAAAAACGATCAATTATGTTGAGTAGCCCCATTTAATTGGCGCGCAACCTTGTTGTTAAGCGATGTGTCATTGAGCCAAATATTACCCTATGATATCCCCAACTGCTATGATGATGTAGTAGTTTTTTCGTCATTGTAGGAAGTTTTCAAATGTAAGAAATAGCAATTGTTTGTACCACACATCTTTCACGAATCTGGCAGAATACGGATATTTTTCATAAGTGAAAAGCATGGGTTAAAACCTAGGTAAATACTTGGTATATTCAATTTATTAAATATATTAATCGGCATTTTTTGGGAATTTGAAAAACTCAAAATAAGAATACCACAAGTAGACACAAGCATCCATACAAACAATGGTGATAAATATAAGCTGCAATAATAATGTCAAATAAATAAAATATATATTATAAATGGGTATGAGTCGTCATGTGTTTTATGTGATTGTTGCTTTTTTTTACCATCTTTACCATTTTGTTAAAATTACTGTCTGGTGTAAATTAGATAGTACCATGCTAAACCTCACTCAATGATTGCCATTATCAGGCTCGGTTTCATTGCGAAGTGTGACAACAGAAGTGTGGAGCCCATAGTTATACAGGCGGCGTTAGCCACAGAGGGATACAGGAACACAGGGAGCCTGAAACTTGTCCCAACGACACTGAACAACTACCACAAAGGGGTACGTAATCCAATTTATCCTCTCAATGATACTGTATATACAAAACAAAGTGACCAAGGAGGTTTCTTAGCGGGAATGAAGCTTGGTGTCTGGGGACGGGGGACAAGTGGAGATGGAGTTACAGTTTATTGTTGAAGTGTTGCCTTGTACGCAAACAACAAGCACCGACTCCAACCAAGGACTGTGTTAGTTGAAGTGTTGTCCTGTAGACATACAACAAGCACCGAATCCAACGAAGGACTATATAAGTTGAAAGCTCTGTTTTACGATATTATTGTTTGTGTTATGTGAAATAGATTTTCAGTTGAAAGTTTGATAATTGATCTAGAAAAAAAATACAACATGAACGCAATTTATGATCACAACACACTTGGTACATGTATGTAGATACCTGTAGTTGTCGACTGTTCGGTACAAATTGTCTGGTCACATTAAAAATACCTTTATTTAATCAATGTATAACTTATCCAATCGGATATGAGACAAAATATGTGAACCCTGCGTGGGGTTTACTGATATTTCTAGCTTCATAATTGTATAGAAGAAATAACTCAGAATAAAGTGAAACATCATCTATTTAGTTAAATAGGTATATGTTGCAAAATATGAATGACCATAGATTGTATTTTTCTTTCTATAATTTAATTAGATGGCCGTAGCTGCGATTTTTGCGGTTAAAATTCAAACCTACACAAACACTGATCGTTCCAGTGAAACTAATGGAACAACAGTCAGGAAATGTTGTGACGGCGGCAGTCTACCTCATTGTGATACCGACACGTGTGACACACATTTCAGGATCTGTGTCAATAAGTAAGTACCTTATCGGATACAACAATGATATGTCGTAGTTTACATCAATCAGTTTAGATTTGTTCAGGTCGAAGTGTATAACGTTATAGTTGTTATGATGGCGGACTAAACAAGCAATATCCGTTATAATTGTTATGATGGCGGACTAAACAAGTAATATCCGTTATAGTTTATTAATCAGATCCATTTATATTAGTTATGCATTGCAGTTAAATACTCGATCGTTTTTGTTCCGTATTTAGTTTTGGGTTAAATCGGATTAAACCCAGTTCAATTACAACTTTAATAAGTTGAGATCCGTTCTAGCTATAATAGGTATTTATTTCCATTTTCATTCCTCAAGACAAACATGTATATGCTCGCTCATTTAAAGTCTTGATTCTGTTATTCCTCAGCATTGTTTTTATTCCGTCGTTGTACTTTATCTCAATGTTTTGTATATTTGTTTTAAATGCCACTTGTTACTACATTGTATAACGTTGTTGTCATCGAACAGAAATCTTTACCCAATAATTACGAATGCTTCTTAGTTCAACGCTGTCAAAAGTCCTGAAGTATTTTAATTGGCTGAATATCTCGCTCTCTCATGTGCTGTACTGAAATCGTAACCATACTATCTTTGTATGATTTCTATCAAGTGGTATGTGATATATAAAATATTCCTTTTATTTTGACTTTTGTTAACATCTCAACGTCACGTGATATACCGATTGTTTTACACAGCGACCCACACAACGCCGGAACTGGGAGCTGTATCAACACAAAAGTCAGACCAGACACTAACCAGCTCGCCAGTTGTGGAGATTTACGTGTAAAACAGGCTACCAACCAGTTGGATTTTGCATCTACGTACATTTCAGTTACGGACACGTGGACCTGGGTAGGTGATACAGAACGCTGTCTTGTTACATACTTAACATCCCGTTATTATTTGTTTATCAGTTATTTGTTTATCAATTATTTGTTTATCAGTTGAAGTCAAACAGGACCAAGCTTTCGACATAGGCAGCCAGTAGAACTGTCAAATAAGAGAAACAAAATTTCTGTTAAACAAGGTAGAAGAAGGAAAATACAATGATAGCATGTATTGTCATTGGTGCAGACAACATATTTTGATTTCGTCAAGATACTTTCAGCCCTACATTCGTCGCCACAGCCGAATACTTGAACCATAAACCTGTACGAAACTATTTGATAGTATGATTGGCTATAATCATTCACTTGCATTTCATGAAGAAAGATGTATTTCTTATTTAACTCACAGACACAAAGAGTCAATACGGAGCTTTGGCTATTTAATGACGTCATTTAGTTTCCGACTGAGGCCAGGGTTGGCTGTGACCGTGTAGTTTGAATTATATTCTGACATGGTTTGTTTACACGAAACACTGGTTAATGTTTTGTTGTTGTAGCTAAAATATGTATGACGTGTTCAAGAGTTTTATAGGCTCCTTAGCACACGTTACAAATGAGTATTCTCGTTGTAACACTACAAATGAACACGTTAGACATGGGTCTTCTCACTGTACAGTGACACTACAAATTAACACGTTAGATGTGGGTCTTCTCGCTGTAACACTACAAATGAACACGTTAGACATCGATCTTCTCGCTGTAACACTACAAATGAACACGTTAGACATCGGTCTTCTCGCTGTAACACTACAAATGAACACGTTTGACATGGGTCTTCTCGTTGTAACACTACAAATGAACACGTTAGACATTGGACGTCTCGCTTCACTCCGCTACTTGAAAAAAACCGACACAACTCAAATGTTCAATTTGCCGCTAGCTCGCCGTGAGGACGTAGGCGGTGGGCGTTTAATCAGACATTAAGACAGCATATACATGTATACCAAGCAATGGACATTCATAACATAAACATCACAAACTTTTCAGTACTCTGCGAAAAATACAGAACCCCTATTGAAAAACGTACATGTCTCAGAGATTCCCCTTCATCGAGCTCAGAAAAAACCCCGGAGTTAACCCCGGAAATCTGCGTCCGGAGGCGGGACAACTATTATTTCCCTGCAGGATATCTCTCAAGGGTGACAACTACATAAATAAGAATATAAAGCTTTACAACATGTTAATTATACATCTTACCTGTGTTTAATATGCATATATTAAACTATTTGGTGGGATTAAATTTCCAAACTCATCAGTGGATGGCCTTGTGTGATACAACGGACTTTTTGGCCTGTATCTGTTGGGTGCGGTAATTTAATCCCATCAAATGTTTATACATGCAGCTCCATCAACAAATTATTTTTCTTTTCTCTTCATAATATGTATACATATATATACCGGTATATGTTTTATATGTCTTTTCAATATCAAAATTAAAGGGAAGAATTTAAACCATTAGATTCAATTATAATAAAAATGAGTATTAGTAGTTGTTTCCCCTAATTTGATTATTAATTTGATAATACCAACTTGTTTATATGTGTTTGTATGTGTTCTAATGTCTATGTCTTCGCTTGCACCACTGTCTGTTACTATGTTTGGAAAGGGCTTAAATAGGCTATGCCTGCTGCCCAATCCATTTGTCCCTTGACAATAAAATTTATTGAAATAGAAAATTAGCCAGAATACAGAAACACGCAAAATTAAACCATCACAAACATTAGCCAGAATGCAGAAACACGCAAAATAAAACCATCACAAACATTAGCCAGAATACAGAAACACGCAAAATAAAACCATCGCAAACATTAGCCAGAATACAGAAACACGCAAAAGTAATCCATCGCAAACATTAGCCAGAATACAGAAACACGCCAATTTAAACCATCGGAAACATTAGCCAGAATACAGAAACACGCAAAATAAAACCATCGCAAACATTAGCCAGAATATGGAAACACTCAAAATAAACCATCGTAAACATAAGCCGGATTACAGAAACACGCCAAATAAAACTATCGCAAGCATTAGTCAGAATACAGAAACACGCAAATTAAACCATCGCAAACATTAGCCAGAATACAGAAACACGCCAAACAAAACCATCGCAAACATTAGTCAGAATACAGAAACACGCAAAGTTAAACCATCGCGAACATTAGCCAGAATACGGAAACACGCAAAATAAAACCATCGTAAACATACGCCGGATTACAGAAACACGCAAAATAAAACCATCGTAAACATAAGCCGGATTACAGAAACACGCCAAATAAAACCATCGCAAGCATTAGTCAGAATACAGAAACACGCAAATTAAACCATCGTAAACATTAGCCAGAATACAGAAACACGCCAAACAAAACCATCGCAAACATTAGTCAGAATACAGAAACACGCAAAGTTAAACCATCGCAAACATTAGCCAGAATACGGAAACACGCAAAATAAAACCATCGTAAACATAAGCCGGATTACAGAAACACGTCAAATTAAACCATCGCAAACATTGGCCAGAATACCGAAACATACCAAATTAAACCATCGCAAATATAAGTCAGAATACCGAAACACGCCAAATTAAACCCAAACATTAGCCGGATTACAGAACCTGATATAATTGATAACATAAATTGTAAGCAATGCTAGTTTGAAAACATCAGAAGTCTTCAATCCCGGTCTGATGGTTGTTATTTGTCATTTGATGATCAGGAGGATACTCTGAAAAATCTATATATATATTTCATTTACCCTAGAGGCATCTTGGTATATATATATATATTTCCCATTTCAGAACAATACGTATATTCACGTCGAGGCGAGAGACGCTGATGATGGCGATACGTATGACGTCATAGATACCCTTACGTTAAAAAAGGATCTGACCCCCGGGTATTGGGATCTGTCAAACGCCGCCTCGGTATCAGTTCTGCTCCAAGATCACGTCAGGTATCCGTTAGCTTACAAACTCTAGCTGAAACGAGTAGATACACATTGTTATGGCGTCATTAATAACCAATGCATTAGTTATAACAAACTAGTAGAGTGGATTTGGCTTACATGTATATGTCAGGTTTTTTTTTTTATAATGCTCTTATCATTAAAATAAATTTCTCCCACCCTTCACAGGTGTGTCTCCCGTTTCAGCCGGAAATGACCAGCTCGTCACTCCCTAGGGAGAGATAACCTCGTGCCGCTAAGCACGTGTTTAATAGTGATGTCATTTTAAAAACGTGTCAACGGTAATTTTGACGGCATCAAAAGTGAATCACGATATTCATACCCCAGAAGTGTTTTTGTTTACAAACAGACTACTGTCGGTGAAATTGTGACTGAAATAATAGAATGGAAGAAAAAAATACCATCCCCTAACTTGAGGGTGTAGCAGAGAAATATCCAACCCTCGGGGTGATTCTTTTGGTTGACAACCAAAAAATATCACCCCACGGGTTGGATTCCTCTTTCATAGCCTCGAGGTAGGGGAAAATTCTATGAGTCACACAGAGAATCATCTGAGACATACTGTTCTTACCAAAACACAAATTACATCTTACCTTCGTTTTACCTAGTTATCTCCTTATAATTACATCTAACCTTCGTATAACCAAGTTATCTCCCTATAATTACATCTAACCTTCGTATAACCCAGTTATCTCCTTATAATTACATCTTACCTTCGTGTAACCTAGTTATCTCCCTATAATCTCATCTAACCTTCGTTTAACCTAGTTATCTCCCTATAAACTCATCTAACCTTCGTTTAACCTAGTTATCTCCCTATAATTACATTTAACCTTCGTTTAACTTAGTTATCTCCCTATAATTACATCTTACCTTCGTTTAACCTAGTTATCTCCTTATAATTACATCTAACCTTCGTATAACCAAGTTATCTCCCTATAATTACATCTAACCTTCGTATAACCCAGTTATCTCCTTATAATTACATCTTACCTTCGTGTAACCTAGTTATCTCCCTATAATCTCATCTAAACTTCGTTTAACCTAGTTATCTCCCTATAATCTCATCTAACCTTCGTTTAACCTAGTTATCTCCCTATAATTACATTTAACCTTCGTTTAACTTAATTATCTCCCTATAATTACATCTTACCTTCGTTTAACCTAGTTATCTCCCTATAATTACATCTTACCTTCGTTTAACCTTGTTATCTCCCTATAATTACATCTAACCTTCGTTTAACCAAGTTATCTCCCTGTTATTACAACTACCTTGTAACCTAGTCGTTTAACCTAGTATGTTATTTGTCTGTTAAAATTAACTGCTGTGTTTACTGAAATATGTCGGATACGTGTAATCCAGTCTCCGTTATTATATTTTGACTTTGTTGTTATATTAACTGAGATATCTGGAATACTCAAGTATTTCTATAAAACTTGATTGATTGGAACATGATGTAATGTTTCAGGCTGAGCCTAAGGTTGTTGGTCTGGTGTGGCGCCAATAGGTACGGGAGGAATTGTGACGTACAGTGTACAGCCAGCGGACATAGGGCATGTGACCCAGATACTGGCGCCACGATCTGTCAATCTGGTGAGTATATTAGGTTACATAGCATCATGAAGCGGACATCCAAATATTGACATCAGTATTGCTTTAAGTGTTTTGAACTGTGAAATTAAAGAAACAACTGCACAACCGATCTCATCATGTCTAAAAGACTGACAAACGAACAAATAAGAATCCGAATCGTATGATTCGACTCTAGTGTTTATAAGCATTATTTATTTTTCCTTTGCAACTAGAGTATGGTTTACCTTGCTCAAAGCTAACTGAATTTAATTTTATAACTTCCATTAAACTACAATTTTGAGAAACCTAATATTTTGAAAAACGTGATACATAATTTGCGTCATTAAGTGTATTAAGACAATAATAATCATACTCATAATGTACTTTTTTTCTCGCAATCACATTGACCGGATTGATTGAAAGTGATCAGTTTACAAAAACTCACGTAGATCGGTTTCCGGTGAATATCGATTTTTAAATATAGCTCTAGGGGAATCCCCTACAGTTGTAGCGTTTATAAATAGCTGTTTGACACTCATTTAGAACAAAAAAATAATAATATTGTATTGGTCAGCACTTTTTCTCTGGGTAAGATATACAATTTGAAACCTGCAAAAAAACCACCACATGACAGAAAACATCACATTCAAACTTTTTTTAAATAGATTTACTGCTGAAGCATAAAATTAAAGAGTTAAGTGTATAGACTTCTGTGATGTTGATCATGATGTGATATGGACCTGAAAAAGTTATATTAACCTCGTCCTCGCCTGGGTCAATATTATGTTCACAGATTCATATCGTTTTCTTTAATATCAAGTTCATTTCACATCATATTAATAATCATAGCACAAGTCCATTATTGTATGATTGTCTTGAAATGAGGTGATGAATATACCACACAGGTTACACGGGGAGTGACTGTCACGACATAGACGAGTGTAAGGAACACTACTGTCACGGACCTGGTACACTTCTCTGTACCAACAGACATGGGTCCTACCAGTGTGGCTGTAATACTGGCTGGACGGGGAAAAACTGTTCACAAGATGTCGACGAATGTCAACACAATCCCTGTCAACATGGCGGTACTTGTAATAACACAGTCGGATCTTACATATGCACGTGTCACGGATTTCATGGCCATAACTGTGAACGTGACATAGACGAGTGTCAGCCAAACAATCCCTGTCAGCACGGAGGCACGTGTCACAACACACGAGGGTCATACACGTGCTCCTGTCACGGCTTCACAGGACAAAACTGTTCACAAGATGTCGACGAATGTCAACAAAATCCATGTCAACATGGCGGTACCTGTAATAACACTGTTGGGTCGTACACGTGTTCATGTCACGGATTTAGTGGACAGAATTGTGAAAATGATATAAATGAATGTACCAACGTAACTTGTCCACACAAAAACGCGCATTGTGTGAACAATATCGGATCTTACACGTGTCAGTGTAATACAGGGTGGGCAGGTAGCCAGTGTAATACAGACGTAGATGAGTGTAAACATAATCCCTGTAAACATGGAGGCACATGTCACAACACTGACGGAAATTTCACGTGTCAGTGTAATACCGCCTGGACTGGATGGAGCTGTTCGGAGGATGTCAATGAATGTCATACTATACATAATTTATGTCAAAATGGTGGAACATGTACCAATAATCCCGGCAGGTATAAATGTACATGTAAGACTGGTTGGAAAGGTGTTAACTGCTCGACAGATATCAATGAATGTGACGAACACGTGTGTAAACACAACGCCACCTGTACCAATACTGGGGGTGGCTTTAACTGTACGTGTAAAGAGGGTTGGCAGGGTAATACTTGTGAGCGTGACAAAGACGAATGTCGTAACAGCCCTTGTCACAATGGGGCTACTTGTCAAAACAACGCCGGATCGTATAGGTGTGTCTGTAGGAGTGGCTGGGCAGGACATCACTGTGGCGTGGGTAGAGATGAATGTAAACTGACAAAAATGTGTCATCATGGATCGTGTCTTAACACCAATGGAAGCTACGTGTGTAACTGTGATAGTGGTTGGGGCGGACAGAACTGTTCAGACGATACCAATGAGTGTCTAACCATTCGCCCCTGTCTTAATAACGGACAGTGTAACAACACGCCAGGAAGCTACCGGTGTAACTGTACCAAGCACTGGAAAGGCAGAAACTGTTCACAAGATGTCGATGAATGTACAACACAGACACCTTGTCAGCACGGCGGATCGTGCACTAATAACGTAGGCGGGTTTACGTGTTCCTGTGTGCATGGTTGGACGGGAACGAAATGTGAAACAGACGTAGACGAGTGTAAAAACACGACAATTTGTACCAACCACGGGGAGTGTCACAACGGTAACGGTAACTTTAGTTGTGAATGCATCAAAGGTTGGGAGGGAAAATTCTGCGAACATGACATCGATGAGTGTCAAAATGTTCCATGTCACCATGGCGGCACGTGTAACAACAATGACGGTAACTATACCTGTCAGTGTACGACCGGATGGACCGGATGGAATTGTGAAATTGATGTGAATGAATGCCTTGATACTCCAAACGTGTGTAAAAATAACGCAACTTGTAAAAACAAAAATGGTAGTTATGAATGTATTTGCAAATCTGGATGGAGCGGACATAACTGCACGAGTTTTTCACATATGATTACATGTGCAGAACATCTGTGTAAAAACAACGCCACCTGTTCTGTTACTAATGGCAGTATCAGGTGTAATTGCACTGTTGGCTGGACAGGACACTTTTGTGAAACCGACGTCAACGAATGCCAACAGAATCCTTGTCAACACGGCGGCACATGCCAAAATACAAACGGTAGCTTTACGTGTGACTGTCCTCATGGTTGGACGGGCGACCTGTGTGATACTGATGTCAACGAATGTCTCCCTAATCCTTGTCAACATGGTGGAAGTTGTCAAAATTCACAAGGGAGCTTCGCATGTAGCTGTTCTAACGGTTGGACAGGAAACAAATGTCAAACTGACATCAACGAGTGTCAACATAATCCTTGCCAACATCGGGGCACCTGTAACAATGTAGATGGTAATTATACGTGTCACTGTAGGCAAGGCTGGACGGGTTGGAATTGTGGCCATGATGTAAACGAATGTCAAATGACTCCGAAAGTGTGTAGAAATAACGCGACGTGTCACAATACCGGTGGTGGCTATACTTGTTCCTGTTTGTCTGGATGGAGTGGAGATAACTGCACATCTGACGTTGATGAATGCGATAAGCACGTGTGTAAAAACAACGCCACGTGTACCAATACCGACGGCGGCTATAAGTGTAGTTGTACCAAAGGTTGGCGAGGGAGTACATGCGAGGAGGATATAGATGAATGTTTCTCACACAATCCTTGTTTAAATCACGGACACTGCAGAAACATCGATGGGATATAGATGAATGTTTCTCACACAATCCTTGTTTAAATCACGGACGCTGCAGAAACATCGATGGTGGCTAACATTGTAATTGTTCAAAAAATTGGACTGGAAAAAACTGTTCAGAGGACGTCGATGAATGTAAAACAAATAATATCTGTCTTCATGGTGGGACCTGTTTAAATACTCACGGTGGCTTCGCGTGTTCTTGTGTAAAAGGACGGACAGGAAATACATGTGAAAACGACGTGAATGAGTGTAATAACAAAGCGATATGTAAAAATAGAGGAAAATGTATTAATATCGTTGATGGCTTTACATGTAATTGTACTGTTGGATGGACTGGTGACACGTGTCAAACCGACATCAACGAGTGTCAATCCAATCCCTGTTTACATGGCGCAACATGCCACAATTTTAACGGCAGTTTCACGTGGGATTGTTCTAATGGATGGACTGGAAACAAGTGTCAAACCGACATCAACGAGTGTCAACTTAATCCTTGTCAACATCGAGGCACCTGTATCAATGTAGATGGTAATTATACGTGTCACTGTAGGCAAGGCTGGACGGGTTGGAATTGTGGCCATGATGTAAACGAATGGCAAATGACTCCGAAAGTGAGTAGAAATAACGCGACGTGTCACAATACCGGTGGTGGCTATACTTGTTCCTGTTTGTCTGGATGGAGTGGATATAACTGCACATCTGACGTTGATGAATGCGATAAGCACGTGGGTAAAAACAACGCCACGTGTACCAATACTGTCGGCGGCTATAAGTGTAGGTGTACCAAAGGTTGGCGGGGGAGGACATGCGCGGAGGATATAGATGAATGTGTCTCACACAATCCTTGTTTAAATCCCGGACACTGCAGAAACATCGATGGTGCAAGGCTGGACGGGTTGGAATTGTGGCCAGGATGTAAACGAATGTCAAATGACTCCGAAAGAGGGTAGAAATAACGCGACGTGTCACAATACCGAGGGCGGCTATACTTGTTCCTGTTTGTCTGGATGGAGCGGAGATAACTGCACATCTGACGTTGATGAATGCGATAAGCACGTGGGTAAAAACAACGCCACGTGTACCAATACTGTCGGCGGCTATAAGTGTAGGTGTACCAAAGGTTGGCGGGGGAGGACATGCGAGGAGGATATAGATGAGTTTTTCTCACACAATCCTTGTTTAAATCACGTACACTGCAGAAACATCGATGGTGCAAGGCTGGACGGGTTGGAATTGTGGCCAGGATGTAAACGAATGTCAAATGACTCCGAAAGTGTGTCGAAATAACGCGACGTGTCACAATACCGAGGGCGGCTATACGTGTTCCTGTTTGTCTGGATGGAGCGGAGATAACTGCACATCTGACGTAGATGAATGCGATAAGCACGTGTGCAAAAACAACGCCACGTGTACCAATACCGATGGCGGCTATAAGTGTAGTTGTACCAAAGGTTGGCGGGGGAGTACATGCGAGGAGGATATAGATGAGTGTTTCTCACACAATCCTTGTTTAAATCACGGACACTGCAGAAACATCGATGGTGGCTACCATTGTAATTGTTCAAAAAATTGGACTGGAAAAAACTGTTCAGAGGACGTCGATGAATGTAAAACGGATAGTATCTGTCTTCATGGTGGGACCTGTTTAAATACTCACGGTGGCTTCGCGTGTTCTTGTGTAAAAGGACGGACAGGAAATACATGTGAAAACGACGTGAATGAGTGTAATAACAAAGCGATATGTAAAAATGGAGGAAAACGTATTCATATCGTTGATGGCTTTCCATGTAATTGTACTGTTGGATGGACTGGTGACACGTGTCAAACCGACTTCAACGAGTGTCAATCTCATCCCTGTCAACATGGCGGCACGTGCATCAATACCGACGGAAACTTCACGTGTACCTGTCCTCATGGTTGGACGGGCGACCTGTGTGATACTGACGTCAACGAATGTCATTCTAATCCTTGTCAACATGGTGGCACGTGTCGAAATTCCAAAGGTAGCTTTACCTGTCATTGTTCTCATGGCTGGTCAGGCAACAAATGTCAAACCGACATCGATGAATGTCACCAAAATCCTTGTCAACATGATGGAACTTGTCAAAATTCCAAAGGGAGCTTCGCATGTAGCTGTTCTAACGGTTGGACAGGCAACAAGTGTCAAACTGACATCAACGAGTGTCAACATAATCCTTGCCAACATCGGGGCACCTGTAACAATGTAGATGGTAATTATACGTGTCACTGTAGGCAAGGCTGGACGGGTTTGAATTGTGGCCATGATGTAAACGAGTGTCAAATGACTCCGAGAGTTTGTAGAAATAACGCGACGTGTCACAATACCGGTGGTGGCTATAATTGTTCCTGTTTGTCTGGATGGAGAGGAGATAACTGCACATCTGACGTAGATGAATGCGATAATCACGTGTGTAAAAACAACGCCACGTGTACCAATACTGTCGGCGGCTATAAGTGTAGGTGTACCAAAGGTTGGCGGGGGAGTACATGCGAGGAGGATATAGATGAATGTGTCTCACACGATCCTTGTTTAAATCACGGACACTGCAGAAACATCGATGGTGGCTACCATTGTAATTGTTCAAAAAATTGGACTGGAAAAAACTGTTCAGAGGACGTCGATGAATGTAAAACAAATAATATCTGTCTTCATGGTGGTACCTGTTCAAATACTCACGGTGGCTTCGCGTGTTCTTGTGTAAAAGGATGGACAGGGAATACATGTGAAAACGACTTGAATGAGTGTAATAACAAAGTCATATGCAAACATGGAGGAATATGTAATAATATCGGTGGTGGCTTTACATGTAATTGTACTGTTGGATGGACTGGTGACACGTGTCAAACCGACATCAACGAGTGTCAATCTCATCCCTGTCAGCATGGCGGCACGTGCAATAACACCGACGGAAACTTCACGTGTAACTGTCCTCATGGTTGGACGGGCAACCTGTGTGATACTGACGTCAACGAATGCCACCCTATTAATCCTTGTCAACATGGTGGCACGTGTCGAAATTCCAAAGGCAGCTATACCTGTCATTGTTCTCATGGCTGGTCAGGCAACAAGTGTCAAACCGACATCGATGAATGTCACCAAAATCCTTGTCAACATGGTGGAACTTGTCAAAATTCACAAGGGAGCTTCGCATGTAGCTGTTCTAACGGTTGGACAGGCAACAAGTGTCAAACTGACATCAACGAGTGTCAACATAATCCTTGCCAACATCGGGGCACCTGTAACAATGTAGATGGTAATTATACGTGTCACTGTAGGCAAGGCTGGACGGGTTGGAATTGTGGCCATGATGTAAACGAATGTCAAATGACTCCGAAAGTGTGTAGAAATAACGCGACGTGTCACAATACCGAGGGCGGCTATAATTGTTCCTGTTTGACTGGATGGAGAGGAGATAACTGCACATCTGACGTAGATGAATGCGATAATCACGTGTGTAAAAACAACGCCACGTGTACCAATACTGTCGGCGGCTATAAGTGTAGTTGTACCAAAGGTTGGCGGGGGAGGACATGCGAGGAGGATATAGATGAATGTGTCTCACACAATCCTTGTTTAAATCACGGACACTGCAGAAACATCGATGGTGGCTACCATTGTAATTGTTCAAAAAATTGGACTGGAAAAAACTGTTCAGAGGACGTCGATGAATGTAAAACAAATAATATCTGTCTTCATGGTGGTACCTGTTCAAATACTCACGGTGGCTTCGCGTGTTCTTGTGTAAAAGGATGGACAGGGAATACATGTGAAAACGACTTGAATGAGTGTAATAACAAAGTCATATGCAAACATGGAGGAATATGTAATAATATCGGTGGTGGCTTTACATGTAATTGTACTGTTGGATGGACTGGTGACACGTGTCAAACCGACATCAACGAGTGTCAATCTCATCCCTGTCAGCATGGCGGCACGTGCAATAACACCGACGGAAACTTCACGTGTAACTGTCCTCATGGTTGGACGGGCAACCTGTGTGATACTGACGTCAACGAATGCCACCCTATTAATCCTTGTCAACATGGTGGCACGTGTCGAAATTCCAAAGGCAGCTATACCTGTCATTGTTCTCATGGCTGGTCAGGCAACAAGTGTCAAACCGACATCGATGAATGTCACCAAAATCCTTGTCAACATGGTGGAACTTGTCAAAATTCACAAGGGAGCTTCGCATGTAGCTGTTCTAACGGTTGGACAGGCAACAAGTGTCAAACTGACATCAACGAGTGTCAACATAATCCTTGCCAACATCGGGGCACCTGTAACAATGTAGATGGTAATTATACGTGTCACTGTAGGCAAGGCTGGACGGGTTGGAATTGTGGCCATGATGTAAACGAATGTCAAATGACTCCGAAAGTGTGTAGAAATAACGCGACGTGTCACAATACCGAGGGCGGCTATAATTGTTCCTGTTTGACTGGATGGAGAGGAGATAACTGCACATCTGACGTAGATGAATGCGATAATCACGTGTGTAAAAACAACGCCACGTGTACCAATACTGTCGGCGGCTATAAGTGTAGTTGTACCAAAGGTTGGCGGGGGAGGACATGCGAGGAGGATATAGATGAATGTGTCTCACACAATCCTTGTTTAAATCACGGACACTGCAGAAACATCGATGGTGGCTACCATTGTAATTGTTCAAAAAATTGGACTGGAAAAAACTGTTCAGAGGACGTCGATGAATGTAAAACAAATAATATCTGTCTTCATGGTGGTACCTGTTCAAATACTCACGGTGGCTTCGCGTGTTCTTGTGTAAAAGGATGGACAGGGAATACATGTGAAAACGACTTGAATGAGTGTAATAACAAAGTCATATGCAAACATGGAGGAATATGTAATAATATCGGTGGTGGCTTTACATGTAATTGTACTGTTGGATGGACTGGTGACACGTGTCAAACCGACATCAACGAGTGTCAATCTCATCCCTGTCAGCATGGCGGCACGTGCAATAACACCGACGGAAACTTCACGTGTAACTGTCCTCATGGTTGGACGGGCAACCTGTGTGATACTGACGTCAACGAATGCCACCCTATTAATCCTTGTCAACATGGTGGCACGTGTCGAAATTCCAAAGGCAGCTATACCTGTCATTGTTCTCATGGCTGGTCAGGCAACAAGTGTCAAACCGACATCGATGAATGTCACCAAAATCCTTGTCAACATGGTGGAACTTGTCAAAATTCACAAGGGAGCTTCGCATGTAGCTGTTCTAACGGTTGGACAGGCAACAAGTGTCAAACTGACATCAACGAGTGTCAACATAATCCTTGTCAACATCGGGGCATCTGTAACAATGTAGATGGTAATTATACGTGTCACTGTAGGCAAGGCTGGACGGGTATGAATTGTGGCCATGATGTAAACGAATGTCAAATGACTCCGAAAGTGTGTAGAAATAACGCGACGTGTCACAATACCGAGGGCGGCTATAATTGTTCCTGTTTGACTGGATGGAGAGGAGATAACTGCACATCTGACGTAGATGAATGCGATAAACACGTGTGTAAAAACAACGCCACGTGTACCAATACTGACGGCGGCTATAAGTGTAGGTGTACCAAAGGTTGGCGGGGGAGTACATGCGAGGTGGATGTAGATGAATGTCAAATCAACCCTTGCCACAACGAGGCTACTTGTCACAACAATATCGGATCGTTTGAATGTGTCTGTAGGAGTGGATGGTCAGGACGTCACTGTGACGTGGATATAGACGAATGTAAACAGACGATTATCTGCCATCATGGATCGTGTCTTAACACTAATGGGAGTTACGTATGTAAGTGTATGGAAGGGTGGGGTGGCACAAACTGTTCGGACGATATACAATCTACAACGGATCATCGTGTCTATGAAACCACTTCTAAAGAATACAGTCACTTGAATACCAAAGACATTTCTGTCGAGATGACGTCAATGTCAGAACTAAAACCTCAAAAATCGGAAGGTGTCAGTAAAATTACACAGACCTCAACGCCTCAAATGGCCACACATGAGCAAACGTTATCCACGTCAAAACAAACCCTAACTACGCCATCCACGTCAAAACAAACCCTAACTACGCCATCCACGTCAAAGCACCGATCGACCACGCTGCCGACTTCAAAACAATATACGGCTTCCAAATTCAGCAATATCAAAAGCGATGTTGTTTCTACAACGTATGAACCAACCACAACGACAAGCAAAAGTGTTCGTAGTAGTAGACATGGTTTGGTTAGTTCAACGACAAATACAGAAAGACCAGTGGTACCCACTACAGCCTTTGTAGCGACCTCGACACCCGGGAATATAGGTATGACTTCCAGGACGTCACAGACTGCAAAGCCAACCATTAAAGCGGCTGGACCATCGAACGCAAACGCTAACAAGGGGAATCAGGTACTTATTTTCATGTTATGCGTATGTACGAATACGTTTTCGTCGAGTATTTAAGTTAAAGAAATTGTAGAAAAATCAAACACAATTAAACGAGCAATTTGGCATTCAATCCTAACAGGTGACTTCCTGCATCATTAATCTTGGCGCATTAGATATAAGTACTTATTTAAGTTATATATTTGTAGATATTAAAGAGTTTCAATCAAATTAATTATAACATAAAGACAATTAGTTAATGTCACAGACATCACGTTGGGTGTATTTACATGTCTATTTCAGAGCTGGACGGCTAATAACTGGCCGATACTAGCCGGTGTAGGGGGTGTGGTATTACTGATTATCGTCGCAGCAGTGGTCATACACAAAAGACGAAAGTAAGTGTTTTGGATGTATCAACCATTTAACGTGTGTGTATATAGGATCTTACATGAGTTTCCATTTCATATGAGATAAATGAAACGAGTCTTAGAATTTTTCAATTTACCGAGCCTCTGGCGAGCTAAAATGAAAAATTCGTGACGAGTTTCACAAATTTCATATGAAATGAAAACGAGTGTAAGATCCTTTTTATCACCTATTCAAAATGTATGGCGTTTATTCGTGTAAAACGACAATTTCAATGCAACCTTGAAACGTAAAAAGCCGACATTTTGACTGCAGTGCGTAAGTCTTTGACGTCATGTACTTGTCCTAGACATGACGGCACAATTGAAACCTACAACCAATCACAGGGCTGATAGGTCATATTACTTGGGTTAATATTTACTGGATAACACCCTACATTATGTGATAACTTTAAATGTGTGCAGTGTGCCATCCACTTATATGATTTAAATATTGATATCATGGTATGGAAATAAGATATGTGAAGGTGAAAATGATTTTTTTTTATCATTTGTAGAATGAAAGCTAATGTAGCGACATATATAGATGAGAATGATCTGAGAGCCAGGGACAACACCCGGGACAGTACCGCCGCTGTAGTGTTCGAAAACACTGTTTACAACACAATGGACACATCTCATGTATAACTCTATTTCTTAAGTATATTTGGTTTTGTAAGTTTACCACTGCTTACGTTTTCTTACCATGAAGGACTTGTGGCTTGTTCTTTGTTAAATATAGCCCTGCACATGCTCAACAAAAGCAAATATATCGTAAACGTCACGCATATTTCCTTATTGTATTTAACATGTATAGTATGTTTTTAATGTGTACCGTTATGTCTTGTGTTGTGTGTTGTTGTCATGTGTTTCGTGTGCATTGCATTTAAGAACTTAGCTGTATAATATTGAGTGAACAATATTTATATAAAATGTCACAACGCCAATCAACAAAATCAAAACATAACACAGCGACAACACACATCAAATTTACCACAGCGACAACTCACATCAAAATATACCATAGCGACAACTCACATCAAATTTACCACAGCGACAACTCACATCACAATATACCACAGCGACAACTCACATCACAATATACCACAGCGACAACTCACATCAAATTTACCACAGCGACAACTCACATCAAAATATACCACAGCGACAACTCACATCAAATTTACCACAGCGACAACTCACATCAAACTATACCACAGCGACAACTCACATCAAATTATACCACAGCGACAACTCACATCAAATTTACCACAGCGACAACTCACATCAAACTATACCACAGCGACAACTCACATCAAATTATACCACAGCGACAACTCACATCAAATTTACCACAGCGACAACTCACATCAAACTATACCACAGCGACAACTCACATCAAAATATACCACAGCGACAACTCACATCAAATTTACCACAGCGACAACTCACATCAAACTATACCACAGCGACAACTCACATCAAATTATACCACAGCGACAACTCACATCAAATTTACCACAGCGACAACTCACATCAAACTATACCACAGCGACAACTCACATCAAATTATACCACAGCGACAACTCACATCAAATTTACCACAGCGACAACTCACATCAAACTATACCACAGCGACAACTCACATCAAAATATACCACAGCGACAACTCACATCAAATTTACCACAGCGACAACTCACATCAAACTATACCACAGCGACAACTCACATCAAATTATACCACAGCGACAACTCACATCAAATTTACCACAGCGACAACTCACATCAAACTATACCACAGCGACAACTCACATCAAAATATACCACAGCGACAACTCACATCAAATTTACCACAGCGACAACTCACATCAAACTATACCACAGCGACAACTCACATCAAAATATACCACAGCGACAACTCACATCAAATTTACCACAGCGACAACTCACATCAAACTATACCACAGCGACAACTCACATCAAACTATACCACAGCGACAACTCATATCAAACTATACCACAGCGACAACTCACATCAAACTATACCACAGCGACAACTCACCAACAATATATCAGTATACCAACAATACATCAATATACCAACAATACGTTAGTATACCAACAATACATCAGTACACCAACAATACGTCAGTATACCAACAATACATCAATATACCAACAATACATCAATATACCAACAAACGTCAGTACACCAACAATACGTCAATATACCAACAATACATCAATTTACCAACAATACGTCAGTATACCAACAATACATAGAGAAAGATACATGCCTTTTCCCATATCACACCCAGTATCAACCCGAGACACCAATATCAGCCTGAGGGTCGGAGGCCTGAAGGCTGATACTGGTCGAGGGATGATACTGGGTGTGATATGGAAAAAGGCATATTGTTTTCTATTTATTACATACTTACTAATACAATTCGGATAGATCTACTATCGTTTGATCTATTTTTCTTTTGAAATATTGAAAAACGAAAAAAATCCTAATGGAGTGTCATACGGGTTTTGCGGGCTGATACGGAGAGGGCTGATACGGGTTTTGAGGTGTGATACGGCGAGGGCTGGTATGGGTTAGAGCAATTGTCTTTTATCGCATATACAAAAAATATCGTATTTATTAGTGAGTATGTAATAAAATCAGTATACCAAAAATACGTCAGTATACCAACACCACTAGACCAACTGTAACATCTCAAAACTCATGGCAGCATATACCCCAGTGGATCATATACTGTCGACAACCACTGAGTCAACACAACATCTAATGTCGACAACCACTGAGTCAACACAACATATGTATTGTTACACCGTAAGTGAATTTCAAAAACCCATTGTCACCATCGGCTTCGCCTCGGGTGACAATGGTTTTCTCGGGTTGACAATATTCACTGTCACCTGCTAATTAATGTCATATTTATATAATGTCGACAAACACTGAGTCAACACAACATTTAATGTCGACAACCACTGAGTCAACACAACATATGTATTGTTACACCGTAAGTGAATTTCAAAAACCCATTGTCACCCTCGGCTTCGCCTCGGGTGACAATTGTTTTCTCGGGTTGACAATATTCACTGTCACCTGCTAATTAATGTCATATTTATATAATGTCGACAAACACTGAGTCAACACAACATTTAATGTCGACAACCACTGAGTCAACACAACATATAATGTCGACAACCACTGAGTCAACACAAATCCGCAAAGGAAACCACGTCTCGTTCCATGTGTGGTCTGTTTGTTCTTGTAAAAAGTTTGTGGAGTGGCTGTGTAGTGTAAGATGTAAAATATTGGGGTAGGTTGGCTGTGGTATGTTAATTATCGGGCCAATATATGCTAGTGTATATCGTATTGGGGGTGGCTTGGTAGTGTAAATTTTCACATTTATAATTAATACAAATTAATGATAAGGTTCATATATATGTATTTTATATACACAAATTAATGATATGTATACAATAAAATTAATATAATCGCGTCAGATTTCTGTTAGATAACTATCTAAATAGTAATTTTATTTACGTTATTGTATTAATCCGTTTCTGGATTCATCTTATACATAAGCGTTATGCACGTGTTAAATTAGTTTATTACCATTAACTTGATTGAAATTGTTTTACGTAAGTTAGAGTTATTATTTTTATATCCACATATGTCATATTTCATGTTGATTCTGACCAATACAATACAGTATATAACAACAATATTTAGCAGTTATTGTACGCCGCAATCTGGGATCAGATGTGTGAAAACCCATGACATTTATATCAGTGTCACATGCACTCATTCATCAGCTTCGACTATTCCCAAACGATAAAATACATCACATATCTATAATCAACTAGTATATCATTTTAAATGTTGACCTGTATAATAATTTTGATTGCATTTAAGTAATCGTTTCCTTTCAGCAATATGTATGTACGCTCGATAAGCCGGACGAGATACAGGTACACAGCGTAGTGACACCTATAACCCTACAGCTAGAGCAATCACGATTCACCCAACACCCGTATATCACGTGCACATCACACACATTTTAAGTATATACAGTTTAAAGATCTTAAAGAACTAATTACAATAGTCAATATTTCACAAATATTTTTAGAGCGTACCATGCCATAAAGAGATAATATAGATGAAACACCTACATGTTAGTTTTGGTAATGATAAAATAGATATTGCAATATTGTATATTTATACATCAATACATACATTAATACTAAGTAGAAAGAATGACCGGCAGCATCAGTTGGACTAACTGTGACGTCGATTGTTATTGTTTTCACAAAATTTAACCCTCTCAGATTTGGCCAATATACATGTATGTGCTGGCGTTTACATATTCATCATTAATCGGAAATTAATTACATTTATATTTATAATGGTATATCGAAAGTGTTTAAAATCTAAAGAAAACACTTGGGAAGCTGATTGAGTCAACAAATGTCGTCCCAACTCCAAATCTTCACATCCAAGTGTACGCACACTTTCACATAACCCTAAATATATAATCACTTATAACATACATGTATAATCAATATAAAAAGTATGTATTCTTACCCTATATAGAAGCACGGTATCATCTGTGTAATACAGTATATATTATATCATGTAAGTCTCAGTGTAATACAGTATCTATTATATCATGTAAGTCTCAGTGTAATACAATATATATTATATAATGTAGGTGTTAGTGTAATACAGTATATATCATATTTTGTAAGTGTTAGTGTAATACAGTATATATTATAACATGTAATTGACAGTGTAAAACAGTATATATAATATCATATAAGTCTCAGTGTCAGTATAATACAGTGTCTTTATATCATGTAAGTCTCAGTGTAATACAATATATATTATATCATGTCAGTGTAAAACAGTATCTATTATATCATGTAAGTCTCAGTGTCAGTGTAATACAGTATCTATTATATCATGTTAGTGTTAGTGTAATACAGTATATATTATATCATGTAAGTCTCAGTGTAATACAGTATCTATTATATCATGTAAGTGTCAGTGTAATACAGAATATATTATATAATGTAGGTGTTAGTGTAATACAGTATATATCATATTTTGTAAGTGTAAGTGTAATACAGTATATATTATAACATGTAATTGTCAGTGTAATACAGTATCTATTATATCATGTAAGTGTCAGTGTCAGGGTTATACAGAATCTGTGTCAGTGTGATACAGTAGATGTGTCAGTGTAATACAGTATATATTATATCATGTAAGTCTCAGTGTCAGTGTAATACAGTATATATTATATCATGTTAGTGTTAGTGTAACACAGTATCTATTATATCATGTCAGTGTCAGTGTAATACAGTATCTATTATATCATGCTAGTCTCAGTGGCAGTTTAATACAGTATCTCTTATATCATGTAACTCTCAGTGTAATACAGTATTTCTGTCAGTGTAATACAGTATCTATTATATCATGTTAGTCTCAGTGTCAGTGTAATACAGTATTTATTATATCATGTTAGTCTCAGTGGCAGTTTAATACAGTATCTATTATATCATGTTAGTCTCAGTGGCAGTTTAATACAGTATCTATTATATCATGTAAGTCTCAGTGTCAGTGTAATACAGTATCTATTATAGCATGTAAGTGTCGGTGTAATACAGTATCTGTTATAGCATGTTAGTATCAGTGTCAGTGAAATACAGTATCTATTATATCATGTAAGTCTCAGTGTCAGTGTAATACAGTCTCAGTGTTAGTGTAATACAGTATCTATTATATCATGTAAGTGTCAGTGTAATACAGTATCTATTATATCATGTAAGTCTCAGTGTCAGTGTAATACAGTATATATTATATCATGTAAGTGTCAGTATAATACAGTATCTATTATATCATGTAAGTCTCAGTGTAATACAATATATATTATATAATGTAAGTGTCAGTTTAATACAGTATATATTATATCATGTAACTTTCAGTGTCAGTGTAATCCAGTGTCTTTATATCATGTAATTCTCAGTGTAATACAATATATATTATAAAATGTAAGTGTCAGTGTAATACAATATATATTATATCATGTAAGAGTCAGTGTAAAACAGTATATATTATATCATGTAAGTGTCAGTGTCAGTGTAATACAGTATCTATTATATCATGTTAATTTCAGTGTCTGTAATACAGTATATATTATATCATGTAAGTGTCAGTGTAATACAGTATATATTATATCATGTTAATTTCGGTGTCAGTGTAATACAGTATATATTATATCATGTAAGTGTCAGTATAATACAGTATCTATAATATCATGTAGGTCTCAGTGTAATACAATATATATTATATAATGTAAGTGTCAGTTTAATACAGTATATATTATATCATGTAAGTCTCAGTGTCAGTGTAATACAGTGTCTTTATATCATGTAATTATCAGTGTAATACAATATATATTATATAATGTAAGTGTCAGTGTAATACAATATATATTATATCATGTAAGTGTCAGTGTAAAACAGTATATATTATATCATGTAAGTGTCAGTGTCAGTGTAATACAGTATCTATTATATAATGTAAGTGTCAGTGTAATACAGTATATATTATATCATGTAAGTGGCAGTTTAAGACAGTATCTATTATATCATGCTAGTCTCATTGGCAGTTTAATACAGTATCTATTATATCATGTAACTCTCAGTGTTATACAGTATTTGTGTCAATGTAATACAGTATCTATTATATGATGTTAGTCTCAGTGGCAGTTTAATACAGTATTTATTATATCATGTAAGTCTCAGTGTCAGTGTAATACAGAATCTATTATAGCATGTAAGTGTCAGTGTAATACAGTATCTGTTATAGCATGTTAGTCTCAGTGTCAGTGAAATACAGTATCTATTATATCTTGTAAGTCTCAGTGTCAGTGTAATACAGTATTTATTATATCATTTTAGTCTCAGTGTCAGTGTAATACAGTATCTATTATATCATGTAAGTGTCAATGTCAGTGTAATACAGTATCTATTATATCATGTAAGTCTCAGTGTAATACAGTATCTATTATATCATGTAAGTATCAGTGTCAATGTAATACAGTATCTATTATAGCATGTAAGTGTCAGTCTCAGTGTAATACAGTATCTATTATATCATGTAAGTATCAGTGTCAGTGTAATACAGTATCTATTATATCATGTAAGTATCAGTGTCAGTGTAATACAGTATCTATTATAGCATGTAAGTGTTAATGTAATACAGTATCTATTATAACATGTAAGCGTAAGTGTAAAAAAGTATCTATTATTTCATGTAAGTCTCAGTGTCAGTGTAATACAGTATATATTATATCATGTAAGTGTCAGTGTAATATAGTATATATCATGTTATTCGCAGTGTAATACAGTATCTATTATATCATGTAAGTGTCAGAGTAATACAGTATCTATTATACCATGTAAGTCTCAGTGTCAGTGTTATACAGTATATATTATATCAAGTAAGTGGCAGTGTAATAATGTTTATGCGTCAGTATTTAACAGTATTTATTATAACATGTAAGCGTCAGTGTAAAACAGTATCTATTAGTTCATGTACGGCTCAGTGTCAGTGTAATACAGTATATTCATGTAAGTGTCAGTGTAATACAGTATCTATTATATCATGTAAGTCTCAGTGTCAGTGTAATACAGTATCTGTGTCAGTGTATTACAGTATCTGTTATATCATGTAAGTGTCAATGTCAGTGTAATACAGTATCAATTATATCATGTAAGTCTCAGTGTAATACAGTATCTATTATATCAAGGAAGTGTCAGGGTAATACAGTATATGTGTCAGTGTTAAACAGTATTTATTATAACATGTAAGCGTCAATGTAAAATAGTATCTATTAGTTCATGTACGGCTCAGTGTCAGTGTAATACAGTATATATTTTATCATGTAAGTGTTAGTGTAATACAGTTTCTGTTATATCATGTAAGTGTCAGTGTCAGTGTAATACAGTATATATTATATCATGTAAGTGTCAGTGTAATACAGTATCTATTATATCATGTAAGTCTCAGTGTCAGTGTAATACAGTATCTGTGTGAGTGTAAAACAGTATATATTATATCGTGTAACTCTCAGTGTCAGTGTAATACAGTATCTATTATATCATGTAAGTCTCAGTGTAATACAATATATATTATATAATGTAAGTGTCAGTGTAATACAGTATCTATTATATCATGTAAGTGTCAGAGTAATACAGTATCTATTATACCATGTAAGTCTCAGTGTCAGTGTTATACAGTATATATTATATCAAGTAAGTGGCAGTGTAATACAGTTTATGCGTCAGTGTTAAACAGTATTTATTATAACATGTAAGCGTCAGTGTAAAACAGTATCTATTAGTTCATGTACGTCTCAGTGTCAGTGTAATACAGTATCTGTGTCAGTGTATTACAGTATCTGTTATATCATGTAAGTGTCAATGTCAGTGTAATACAGTATCTATTATATCATGTAAGTCTCAGTGTAATACAGTATATATTATAACATGTTAGTGTCAGTGTAATACAGTATCTATTATATCATGTAAGTCTCAGTGTAATACAGTATCTATTATATCAAGTAAGTGTCAGTGTAATACAGTATATGTGTCAGTGTTAAACAGTATTTATTATAACATGTAAGCGTCAGTGTAAAATAGTATCTATTAGTTCATGTACGGCTCAGTGTCAGTGTAATACAGTATATATTTTATCATGTAAGTGTCAGTGTAATACAGTTTCTATTATATCATGTAAGTGTCAGTGTCAGTGTAATACAGTATATATTATATCATGTAAGTGTCAGTGTAATACAGTTTCTATTATATCATGTAAGTCTCAGTGTCAGTGTAATACAGTATATATTTTATCATGTAAGTGTCAGTGTAATACAGTTTCTATTATATCATGTAAGTCTCAGTGTAATACAGTATATATTATAACATGTTAGTGTCAGTGTAATACAGTATCTATTATATTATGTAAGTCTTAGTCTTAGTTTAATACAGTATCATTTATATCATGTAAGTGTCAGTGTAATACAGTTTCTATTATATCATGTAAGTCTCAGTGTCAGTGTAATACAGTATCTATTATATTATGTAAGTCTTAGTCTTAGTTTAATACAGTATCTTTTATATCATGTAAGTGTCAGTGTAATACAGTATCTATTATATCATGTTAGTCTCAGTGTCATTGTAATACAGTAACACTACTACCTTGCTGTAGCAAAGATGTTTTGTTTAATTTTCGTCATAATACATTGTACCAATCTTTCCGATGAAACTATAGGGTTATCTTTATTTTGATAGTATATGACATTCCTTACTGAATGTGTTGTACAGGTAAATGTGTATCTTTAATTCGGTCCAAATAAATATCCTCCAAGCTAAAATTGTATTGATTAACATTAATTTTGACGATAAAACAATCTCCATACCTAAGCTGTAGTATCACTAGTTTGGACTATAAATAGTATTTCATTTTCCCTACTGAAGCTGTAGTGTGGAGGATTAATTATGACGATAAATAACATGCTCCCTTCTGAAGCTGCAGTATGTATCATTAACTTTTACTATAAATAACATGCTCCCTTCTGAAGTTGCAGTATGTATAATTAATTTTGACTATAAAAGTTATGCTCCCTGCTGAAGCTGTAGTGTGTATCATAAATTTTGACGATAAATAGCATGCATAGCATGCTCCCTGCTGAAGCTGTTGTAAGATTGTACTTGGTCACGAAGTCCTAACATAATTGATCTTTTTGATGCCGAAATTTAGGAACCAGCTATATATAGCGCCTCGGGTTCCCAATTCAGACTTAAAAACTGAAAAAAATATTTATGGTAAATATTGATGTTGACTCTTATGTCGAAAAAAAGATTTATAAACAAATTGAATGCTTATTTTATCATCATATTAAAGTGAGCAATCGTGTAAAATTATCAGAAGTTATACATACATAAGGTGTTCTCGTTTTCAGGATGATGATCATGAGGAGGAGGGGGATGATTCCTATTCTGAAATGAATGAAAACGAATGCCGACTCTAATACAACGTGGATCTATCTGCTGACCAAACATTTAAACGTGTCACGTGGAGCCATATGCCTATATATGGTTCGCATTCAAACAGTCGCCGGTGTGTAGACATGTGTTACAATGTGATTTGTATGATGTCGAATTGTTAGTTAGGGCCAACAAGTGAATGCCGTGGTGATAACACAAGAATGTACATATAGCTTCAATAATGAACAGCTGAGGTCAACACTGTCAATTCCAAATACCTTCAATGTCGAACACCAAGTTAGCATAGACATATTGGTATACCTTCAATGTCGAACACCAAGTTAGCATAGACATATCGGTATACCTTCAACAACGAACAACATAGACCAAAACATAAATGTCCAAATACTTTCAATAACTAAGAGCAAGTTCAAGACACTGATCATTTCAATAATGAACAGGACTTAAAAGGATGACAGTGGAACACGAGTTGTCAAAACGTAATGAATTACTAAATAGTAAATGGACATTTCCAACATCGTTAAACAATGCAAATAATAGTTGTGAATATATAATGTGGACTCTTTAATGACTGTGTATAGAACCCGCACTACTGAGAGTTTTTATGAATATAATTCCGGACTATTCAGCGGCTTCCTATATATATATTCCAGGTCTATCTAAGGATTGTATAACTAATACCGTACTATTTATATGATATCGGATGATTATATAGATTTTTGATAAGGATATTAATATTTAAGAAAAATAAGAGAAATAGTGACGAGCACAAATACAGATAGTGGAATTTAACATACACATTTTTTTTTTATCTGAACTCTATAATTTATATCTGCATACTTAGGGCAAGGTCATTTGACGTCATACATTACAAGATGCTGTAACAGTGAATATGTATATCATGCTGATGTAATCACCTATTATGACAAGGTAAAGCGTTGATAGCCATAGGACAGTCTGTAGATACACATTACACTCTGAACAATTGAGTTCTGGTTTATAACCGCAATAAATCCCATTGGGATATCGGCTTAAGTTTAAGGGAACCAACGAGTAAAACTATCTTACCATTGCCAATATTGCAAAGCATTTGTTTAATTACTTTTCAAAAGAATGATTCTGTAAATGTCACATGTTGCCATGAATTTTACAGAAATGTCACTTTACCGTACAGGAATGATGAAAGTGCAGCATCAACATACGAGCCTAATCAAAGTACAAAAAACTTCTTTTAGTCTATATTCGAACTCTCCGCCATTATGACGGATCTTAATACAATCTTGCGAAGCATCATTAGCATACTTATTTATATTTATCGAACGTTTTATAGGCCATAATAATCATATCTGGATACTGTTGTTATAATGCTGACTAGCTAAACTTAATTATTTCATCAGTATATTTCACAGTGAGTTTATTATATAGTTCATGGTTAAATCATGTTATACTTTACTGCAAGTTTATGTAATACTTCACTGTGAGTTTATTTAATATTTCACCGTTCGTTTTTTTACTATTTCACCGTACGATTATTTAATATTTCACCGTTCGGTTTTTTACTATTTCACCGTACGATTATCTTATATTTCACCTTTCGGTTTTTTTACTATTTCACCGCACAATTATTTAATATTTCACCGTGAGATTATTTACTATTTCACCGTCCGATTATTTATTATTTCACCGTTCGGTTTTTTAGTATTTCACCGTTCGGTGTTTTACTATTTCACCGTACGATTATTTACTATTTCACCGTTTGGTTTTTTACTATTTCACCGTACGATTATTTAATATTTCACCGTAGGGTGTCTTAATAATTCAATGTGAGTAAATGTTAAACTACACTAGGAGTTTATTAAACATTTTACTGTAAGATGACATAATATTTCACCGTAAATATAGGATATATTTTATCGATACCTGACTCTCTATATGAAAAGTAATAAAACGTAGACCGCGGGAAATAGTTCACCAGGTTGGTCCCAACACCTCGGGAAAACTGTTTTGACTATTGACTGAATGGGCATGAATTAACTGTTTTGTTACTTACAATTATCTGTATGGACTACATTGGTATACACATGACAAAATGCATCACAGCACATTTCCAACTGTGATAACGTTTAACTTTAATGATAACTTTTCAATGTAACTCGTAGTTGAAATAGAGTAATTTCTGCCGGAAAGTGGGTATGAGTAGAGTAAGTTGTATACGAGGCACGTATATAGATGTGTGTTTCCCCGTGACTTGAAGTTGAATAAACGTTATTTTTGTGAGCGTCAATTGGATAGGAATAAGAGAGATTTGGATGTGTGACATGTGTGTAGGGAAGAATAAGAGAGACGTGGATGTGTGACATGTGTATAGGGAAGACTAAGAGATATTTGGATGTGTGACATGTGTATAGGTCAGACTAAGAGATATTTGGATGTGTGACTTGTGTGTAGGTAAGAATAAGAGATATTTGGATGTGTGACATGTGTATAGGAAGGACTAAGAGAGATTTGGATGTGTTACATGTGTATAGGGAGGACTAAGAGTGATTTGTATGTGTGACATGTGCATAGGGAGGACTAAGAGAGATTTGGATGTGTGACATGTGTATAGGGAGGACTAAGAGAGATTTGGATGTGTGACATGTGCATAGGGAAGACTAAGAGATATTTGGATGTGTGACATGTATATAGGTAAGAATAAGAGATATTTGGATGTGTGACTTGTGTGTAGGTAAGAATAAGAGATATTTGGATGTGTGACATGTGTATAGGTAAGAATAAGAGAGATTTGGATGTGTGACATGTGTGTAGGGAGGACTAAGAGAGATTTGGATGTGTGACATGTGTATAGGGAAGACTAAGAGAGATTTGGATGTGTGACATGTGTATAGGAAAGACTAAGAGATATTTGGATGTGTGACATATGTATAGGGAAGACTAAGAGATATTTGGATGTGTGACATGTGTATAAGGAAGACTAAGAGATATTTGGATGTGTGACTTGTGTGTAGGTAAGAATAAGAGATATTTGGATGTGTGACATGTGTATAGGTCAGACTAAGAGAGATTTGGATGTGTGACTTGTGTGTAGGTAAGAATAAGAGAGACGTGGATGTGTGACATGTGTGTAGGGAAGAATAAAGAGATTTGGATGTGTGACTTGTGTGTAGGTAAGAATAAGAGAGATTTGGATGTGTGACATGTGTGTAGGGAAGAAAGTTGTGTGGATTGTAGTAACATAATGTACTAGTATTTTGTTAGCGATGCGTTGTTAAAGAGCTTTGAATAAACAATTTTAAAAAAAAGTTTCGTTTGTATCATTTTGAAATATTTGATAAATCTCGTGCAACTTACTTACGCATGACCTAATCTCGGAACTCTTCCTTTTACACGGTAACTGACTTACATTTAGTGTATTTAATTGTCGTTTAGTAACGTAAAATAAATGATATAATAAAAATTAACTACGGATTGTCACAAATAGCGTTATAGATCTACGCACGGATATCAGTTAACTATCTTATCAGCACGTGAATGATCAACGACAAGGAACAAGGCTACATGTGTTTAAAACGACCTCTGCCATATTACGGGAGTTAAATTGTCAGGATGTGGAACAAAACTGCATTTCCATCCTAAAAGAAAGGTTAAATCATCTTCGTTAGCCAAAGGTTACGATCTGGTACGATCTACCGACTTTCAAAGAAGACTAGATAGACCGGTTCGTACATGTACCGGGTCGTAACCCTTTTAGCTAAGATGGGGTTAAATATGAACAAAGAAAGATAAAATAGGACCTCTCTTACAAAATCAAAATCAATATAAGATCACGTAGTCCAGATTAATAGGTGTCTTAGGATTCATCGACAATACCCGCCATAAAATTTATCTCAGAGCCAAGTATAACCACATCCTCACATCGAGAACTCGAATAGTGACAACAAAACTACAAGGCACTCTTATAAGTATAGTAAAAAACAACGACAATCACACAAGGAAAGGACTATCAGCGCTCATTTATCCCAAGCAGATCATGACGGCGTCCATTAAACGAACTCACAGTTAATATAACGACCAGAAAAGGCACAAATTTCATCTCTCTCAGAGGGGGGACAAGCGTCTAAAACATATTGGATTAGAAGACATCATGTATTTCTATAACTACGTCTGACAGCCTATAAGTTTTTACTTATATGATAATTTCGATAGTTGTAAGATATTCTCTTAGCAGTATACCAATTGATAATTATATACGAACCTTTACGTAACGAACAGGAAGTTAAACAATGTGAGTTACAAGAGTCACAAAGAAACGTTCGTTGTGAAAGAGTAAATACATGTATAAGGTTTAATAAGTTCTCGATGTGTTTTAGAAGACTTGAATAATTTGCTGTGCCGGTGGAAACGTTTGGTTTGGTTTTATAGGGTTTAACGTCCTACCAACAGGTAAGATCATTTAAGGACGTGCTTCCATGTGTTGTATATGTGTGTTTGTGTGCTGGAGGCAGGGTATGTTGGTGTATCTGTCTCTTTGCGATAGCGCGGATCTGATGCTTTTTTTAAGTGCTTCTCGATGAAAAACCCTGCTGAAGTCAACCGGCGCAAACCGACGATATGATACAATAGTTGAATTATGCGATTTGGGGACACTGATTCCAGCAAGTGCTTGGTTGCCTTCGTTAATGCATATTTCCAAAGTATTTTTTGTGCAAATGACATTTTAGCTACGGAAAATAAAACACAGGCAAATAATTTACAGGTTTTGCAACATAAAGGGAGTGAAACCGCGGGGGATAGCTTGTATTGATAGGGCTTTTCATTGACTATTTCCCTTGTGACAGCTATAGTTATATATTATATAACTGTATAAATATATAACTGTATAATAAATATCAATTGAAAATAAGCTATTATGCATTTATTTCGTTGTCAAGATTTTCCTGCATGTTGTTGGCATACTAGATAGGGAAACCTGTACCCTCTCTTTTTCTTCTTTCATATCAGGTTGAATGTATCGACGAACTTCTCAGGATTGTAACACAAATCTTGCCGAGTCCTTCAATTTCGTTTCGGATGTGTCGATATTATCTTCGGACACTACAGACTCTTCTCAATCAGCTACTGACCTCGATCTGTCATAACAACATGGCCAACAGGGAAGGTTTATCTATACTACTTAAGGGTAATACAAATTTGACGAGTTCGATTTTCCGATCGTGAATTCTCTCTTTCTTGATACATATTGTAATAATAACATCCCTACTACATGTACCCTACATACGGGGTTCACATGTCGCAGGTGATTCAATATTTGTGGGATTTAGGTCCCCATCACGATCTTATTAGGGATTACATTCGAACATAGA